AAGTGCAATTATATTTATTCTTAACTTGTTTTGGCTCTACTTATCTTTAACCCACCATGTCTGCATTTACTTTTGACTAATACGGCTGCATTTATTCTTAACTTAAAATGGAGACATTTATTCTTAATTTTATATGCCTATGTGTATTCCTCATTTAATTTGGCTGCATTTATTCTCAACTAAGTATAGCAATATTTACTTCTAACTCTAAATTGCTACATCTTTTTTTTAAAATTAATATGACTAAAGTTATATTTAATATAATGTGTCTGCATTTATTTTCAATCTAATAAGTCTACAATTATCTATAACTTAATTTTGCTTCATTTATTTTAAACTGTCCATGGCTACATCTATTCTTAACTCGATATGGCAACGTTTATTCTTAATATTGCAATATATATATATATATCACAGCTCGGATAGGATGGCTCATCCTACCGGCTTAAAACATTAATGTTTTTTTGCAACCCTATATGCTCTTTATTAACGCTAATTTGGTAAGCATTACTCTTTTACACTAATACACTTATATGTAATTCAATAAAATGAAGCTTTAAAAAGAAATTGCTTTTTCAGCACAACTCAATAAATACTAGTCCTCCTTTCTAACATGAAGTTTGTTTTATATTTTCAACTCTTTATTCAACTGCAATTACCCAAACCATTTTCTTCTCGATTGATGAAAATGTGTCATCCATTATCCTCATTGACCAAACATCCCTGTGCTCCTTGTGATTCTTTTAAACTTTACACATTTGTTGTCGTAGAATACTCTTGAGTTCTACTGTGAAATAAAAGATATTTGAAAGGTCAAGGTATATGCTTTGCTAGATCGATATATAGTTATGGTTGAGGACCACACAACGACATACTAGATGAAACTGCAGTGTCCACGAAGTGAGGCAAAACTTTTTCACAAACAAAAGTAACAAAGACATGAACTGATGTCGTATATAAATATAGCTCAATCCCGATACAAAATGTGCTATAAATTATGTAGCCTCTGAGGCATGGTCATGACGTTTAGCATAGAATACAAAGGTGACATTGGTTCACATGTAGTAAATAAGCTACTGCTACCAAGTATCACATGATTTTAAGATTATTTTATTAACCTCGAGTCAACTGACTCATGGGTATAATACATATATTACAAGATAAGTACAACATGTTATGCAAAACAATACAGAATAACATATGGACATATGTTAAGAGGAGAGTGACTCTTTACGTACACTTCTTGCCAAATGTAAATATTTTCCAAGATTAAAAAAAAATACTTTACAGTATTGGTACTTAATAGTTGAGTTAGCTTAAACACACTCGGACTTAAACGATAATATTTCTTTATGTACTTTAACCTTAAATTTTCATAAAATTGACATTTGAGAACATAATGAAACTCATCTTCAATGTCGCCTAAATTACATCTAGTACACAGGAAGAAAACTGTGTCTAATGCCGATTGTCTCTTTTTTGGTGTTTAACACTCAAAAGTAGCTAAAGCACACGAACATTTTATTTCAATGGAACCTAAATTATACTCATATATAAGATTAAAAAGAAAAAAAAGAAAAAAAGATTTGAAAAAATCGTATTTTTACAGCTTTATGTATACGTGAAAAGTACAAATTTAGTACATGTTTAAAGGTACTGTCACTAGGGATGTTTTGGTCAATAGTAAAATCGTTAACTTTAATGCTACGTGTACACTGTTCTTGCCAACTGAACCCATTTCTACAAGATTATAATCTATATTATATCGAATATGAAAGGAGTCACATATAGTTTATTTTAAACAGAAATTAAATCATACTTGCTGTTTGTAACGCCTATTGATGTGTGTTTAGATTAGATTGTGACTTGTGGATTGTATATGCATTTTTGTTTTGATTTTTATGATGAAACATCTGATATCTCCCTTATTCTTCTACAAAAGTGGGTGTTATTTTATAGTTTATTAATAAAATGTCGTGGTTTCAGAGTAAAAAAAAAAAAAAAAAAAGATTAAAAAGGAAGAATACATCTGTCTAATCTTTCTCCTAATCTTTCAGAATTGTACTAGTTGTAATACAATTTTTCTACTAGATTTTCACGTTAATTGGCGGAATGAATATTTCATGAATATAAATATACATGGATTATAAACTTGAGTCATAATTACACATTCGAGCAATCGCGGCAAAGCTCACGAATAAGTTACAGTCCACAGTACAGCGAAAAGCAGTAATCAGACATGTAGGCAATTTATTTTCGGTTGCGTGTCAATAAATCTTCTTTTAACGCTTGTGGAGTAAACGTAGAGAAATGTACAAACAATGATAAGCTAATTTTCAACATAAAAATGCGGCATTATGTAGTTCAATATATACTTAGTAATACTTTCATGATTCATCATTATTAAAACTTATATAGTTGTTATCCATCTAAAATTGGTTACAAACATCTTTAAACATAAATAAATTATTTCATTTCAACAAATGTTTTTGCAAAAAATATGCAAAGGGATAGGGCATCAGGCAAAGCCTATATAAGCCTTCTCCTTACAACTTCGGTATGTTATATGTACATAAACTTCGGTATGCTATATGTACATAAACTTCGGTATGTTATATGTACATAAACTTCGGTATGCTATATGTACGTAAACTTCGGTATGTTATATGTACATAAACTTATGTATGCTACATGTACATAAACTTCGGTATGCTATATGTACATAAACTTCTGTATGCTATATGTACATACACTTCGGTATGTTATATGTACATAAACTTCGGTATGTTATATGTACATACACTTTGGTATGTTATATGTACATAAACTTCGGTATGCTACATGTACATAAACTTCGGTATGTTATATGTACATAAACTTATGTATGCTATATGTACATAAACTTCGGTATGCTATATGTGCATAAACTTCTGTATGCTATATGTACATACACTTTGGTATGTTATATGCACATAAACTTCGGTATGCTACATGTACATAAACTTTGGTATGTTATATGTACATAAACTTCGGTATGTTATATGTACATAAACTTCTGTATGTTATATGTACATAAACGTCGGTATGCTATATGTAAATAAGTTATATTGCTATACATTCAACTGATATATCGCTATACAGTTGTTTTACAATATACATCTTTCTTTACTAATCATAACATTCAACCTATTTTACAAAAGACTTATTGATACTAAGCAATACATTCAAATTCTACTGTTTATAAAATCCACGGATTTCTTATTTTATTCAAGGTAGCTAGGCAATATATTAATTGCCAATGTACCAATTTTGAGTTCATATTATTCTCAGTAGATTTACTACTAAACGACTTACTTATTCATTGAAAGAGTTGCAATACTTGTATATTGTGTATGCCACCGAAGGTTGAGCGGTAGAAGAAGATAAGTAGGGAAGGGGATGCAGACACGAATGGTTTATTTAGAAGTGATCTGCGGCTTGAATTGCAACACCTGTTTCCTCCAAAACCTTCTTTTGTTTGTTAATCTACCGTTTCTTTATGGCGCGTCTCCCTTGACAATTGCTCAATATGACGTCAGTTGTTGCATGAACAAATTCTGATTTTTATTTATTTTCTTGTTACGATGAATGTAACCTAGAAAATAAGCATAAATAGTTGTAAGCTAACTTTCTAAGTCTTCCAATAATGCCCTACACATGCCATGCGTATTAAAGATGTTCCATGCGTTTTCTTTTCTGATTGTGTTTGAAATTAATTACAATAGCAGAAAGTTAAGAAAACTGTAGATGCAGTATGTCTGTGGATTTCAACTTTAATGTCAGTAAGATCAAGTGTGCATTTCAAGCTCAATAACACGTTGGGAATCCATATTTTGTTCTAATCCAGTTCACTTGTAATGGACGAAGCCATATTTCGAGGCCTTCCTTACTTGTAAGTGTCTCATTATTAACCAAACAAACTATAACTTTCATTGCATTTAAAGCAGAGGGAAACATCCATTAACAACAATATATGCCTGTTGAATGCCTGTATAAAGTATAACAACTAAAGGACTGTCCAGTTAAGATTGACCTTATAATCGAGGTCAACCTACATAGAGGTTCACATTATAACTGATATTCACTAAAAGGAAAGTTTTATTAATGATCGAGGCCAACTCAACGTTTGAGTTCACATTATTATTGAGATCGACTAACATTTAAGCTGACTTACACCTAACTTAAACTTATTTTCGTGGCGGTAAGCGCATATGGTAAGCATATTTTTGAAGTCGGTTAAAACTCGCGTTCATCTCACTTTCAAACCTGGTATTTAAGCCAACTAAGCCATAACCTTTTTCTTCAACAGGCACACACTCTGAAATAATTTAGGGTGATTGTAGCTTTTTATTTCTCAGATGGGTTTTTTGTGAAATGCTTCTTTGTATACATTTAATTGTTTAATATCCTGTAAACCATGTTATGAAGTGAACATTCTAGATTTCAAGATGTCTTGTTCCCAATTAATGGTATTATCAAGACAGATTTGAATGCAGAAGATATTTGTGATATAATCTATTTTATTTCACGATTTTAAGGTTCGTTTGTCTATATCAATATATAAGAGATAATACAACGTATTTATGTTAAAAACTTATATCAAACGTCGAAAATATTAAGTGTCATTTAGTACAATTTTTTTTTTTTTTTTTGGGGGGGGGATGTTCTGACGATTCTGTTAAATAATCAATGCATATATCTACTGCATAACAACCTGGAGAAATTCCCTCCTTTTGGCCTCATTGATCTCACCAATGAAAATCCAGACGTTTTCTCCTGCTAATGAAGCATATAAAACAATTTCTGCAACATATGCAATAGACTATAATATCTGCATTGTATGAATAAAACGCACTACTAAAATAATCCCCTTGGGGGCCTCATTTTACCGACCAATGTCTTGCGTTGACATATCTGATCATAAATTATGCTAATGAATCATATAAAATGCGGTGAGCTCTCCCCCCTTTACCCATAGTGTTTCTGCTAGTCAGTAATCGGTCTACTAGATTTGCCCGGTGCTTGCCTATTTCGCATTTGAGACGGGAGAGATCTGTTAATACCATGAAGACTTCACTGATTATTGGAACCGTTATCCTGGCTTTAGCTGTTGGTAAGTGCATGTTATTAACACAGAACAGTAAATCTTCTTTATAGATAATGTTATTTCAAAATTATTTTCGCAAAAAAATATCTTCTTAGTATAACATACTTCATTCTGTAAAGTACCATTTACAATAAACACATTTGTTTAGAATAAGTGCTTCTTTAATAGCTATTGTCATTTAGTTTTATTTTTTATTTTGAAAACAGTAAGTAAGACTATCATTATTTGACGCATTCATCATTTTGTTCCAAAGATAAAATATATCCAATGATTTTTTAGTTATGAAATCATTTGAACTATAATAATCATGTCTAAATGATATTATTTCATTTCGTCATTTTCATCAACTTTTAGCCAAACGGAAATCAAAATATATACAGTGTTATATCTAATTAATAGATCTATAAAGATCAAACTGATAAGCAAATGAAACAGTATTATCATTTTACTTACCGTTATTTTCGTTTTATTTTACAGCCAGTGTTCATGGAGGTAAGTACAATCAAAAAGACATCCATAAAGCATTATTTGTAATATCATTATTAAGATATAGAACTCTAAATATAAATCTGTATCACACTCGTTCTTACAATTGCTGATATTAAATTGAAAGAACGAACGAATCTTATGCTACTTCATATATTTATTAGATATAGCGTATGATTATGCTGTAGAGATCAATGAAAACTTGGCATTTCTGATATACAGACAAAATTGCTTAATTATGTATATTTTCAATTATACGAATCCAACTATTTTTATTTTTGGCTAACGACATACCCATCATTAATTTGTATTTCTTTGTCACCGAAAAGCCATTGTTAAACCTTTTATTTTATTACAACATACAAGTTCTGATCTCGAAAAAATTCCTATCAATCATGTCGACAAAATACACTGTTCCATTTACGAACTATACTAAACGTGATGACTCATCATTTTTCGTTCAATACGTCATATACATTATTATAAATACGTTTACATAATAAATATACATAATGTAAATAAATATAAGAAAATGCGATTATACTGCAATTAGAAAAATGTGTTTATAATAAACACATCGTGAACCAAGATCAGTTATCGGCATTTGCCCTATTGTTGAGCGGAACTTCGTGACTACAATATAATAAAAAAAAAAAAATCCGGACATTTTTTTTGGTCCGGACTGATATGACGTGATTACAACACAGACGTACTTGCACACATCTTTGTATACACCTTAATGTGTGTAGTAACCAATTAAACGTGACACGTGACAACACGCCATCTATGTTCATAAAAATACAGTCATCGGAAACAGTTTTACAATTCTCCCCAGAGTAATTACCTTTGTCTATAAACACAGCCACAGGGGGAAAAGCCAGTCGCAATTGACATATGCATGTCGCAGTGAGATACTTGCGATGCGCGTGAAATACAACTGTTTATTATGGTCTGTGTATTCATTTGTATAGGCATACAGTTATTAAGATATGTTAATTAATAGACCTTTGGTGTTTATGTAAATGTTGTTTTATTTACCGTAAGTCGTTAGATATATGGTGTTTATACATACATGTTTTATCGAGCTTTTGTGTGAGAAGACATATGGTCTTTATATTTACGTTGTTTATAGGCCGGTGGTCTCTCTATATACATTGTTTAATCTCGTTCAGGTTGAGACTTCAGATGAACTCACGTTTGGTAAAGCCTATGTGTGCCCTAGTAAGGTTAACCCTTGTGATAAATAAAATCAAAATATGTTCCTTTTGTATATAACTTGCTTAAACCCACTTCAAAAAATGGATTTTGGTTTCGAATATTCTGAAATCAATATTTGTTAGAATATATCTTAGTTACCGAACTTCCAAAAGCTATAAGCAAGTGTAGCTTGTTCAAGATAATTGACCATCATTACAACCGCTAATTCATAAGTTCAAGCCAGGCTAGCAAAAAAGACCAAACTATCACCTGTTTTCGTAGCTCTTTCAACTTAAATATTCTGAAGTTTTATTACGAAATTGCAAATCATTCGTTATTTCATGCCAAGAGATGATTTGTCATAAAACTAATCATAAGTAAAGTAGCTCACTATTCAAATTAACCACGAAGTATTTATATTTTAGATAATTAAAAACAAAATGAATCTGATTTTGATTGACGATCATTATCTTATCTTAGGAAGTTAATGATTTTTGGATATCGTCTACTTTATTTTATGCTTATCTATGGATGGAAGTTGTACGTTTTATATTTTAAATGTTATTCATATTTCATTTCAGTATATAGGCGCCCGATGTACAAAAAACGTAAGTATTCACAAGCCTTTCTACTGTCACTACCCAACTTTATGAATATTAATTATGATTATATAGAACTATCTCAAGCATACAGTTTTATTTACTGTATTATGCAAGAATTCTGAGAAGCTAATAAAATTATAATGGTCAATCCTTTAGTGAAAATAATTTCAAAATCTAAAATAATTTAAGTAGATAGAAATGAATCGTGCTGTCGCTGTATCAGTTAACAGTAATATATAATGACGTCATATAGATGTTCCATATGAGACATATATACTATATAAGGATCCATATACCTGTGCCAATTCTGTAACTATGTACTGGGGAACCTTTTACCTGCATAACTACAGCTTCATTTCTGAAAAGAAAATAATGTCTTGCGGTATTTAGTGAAAAGTATAAAAGAGATGAAATAAAAAAGTACTAATATACGATGTTTTGAGTATATAAATTCAGTTTGGTTAGATAATAATTTGAACCATGGATCTCCAAATTGTTAAACTGTTTTTCTAACCAATTTGATCTTTCCGGTTGGGCACAGTTACTGAACCACCTAACGAAATGAGGGGGAGGTTATTGTATGTATAGAAGACCATAGTGGAATTCTCTATGACTTTGCTTCCAGTGGCATAGGGATCTTTAAGCCTACCTACAATACACTATAAACTGCATACTCAGGCACGATCTAGTTGATAGCACACACAAATACTGCCTGGAATGTTAGTCCAGTGCTATAAAATAACCATAAGCTGACAAGCAGATTCCCATTGACAGCACGGTGTCAACTGTTATAACAAAAACCAATTTCCTACCTGTATATCTACTGATTATGTATATTGATTGACACACGCCGCGGGCTAATATGACATTGAAATTCTGCTACTCGGACATTTAGTCTATGTAGCTTGCATTGATATGTTACCATTGTTCTCAGTAAATCCCTTGGCTTTTTAATATGCTGTACACATGTCTTTTTGCTCGGTTGTGATAAGAAAACAAACAAAACATATCACTATGCCGTATTATTTATGATTTGCTTTTGTATCACTACCAAAAACAAAACAAAACAAAAATTATCACAAAACTACATTTTTGTTTTTTTGTTGGATATAGACCCAAAAAAACAACCATTCCTTATTGCAAATTCGTTTCCCACGAAATAGGATTTTAAAACTACAAAACCCCACAAATGAACAGACAAATGATAGACACAACGTAATATTTTTACGTTTCAAGTATGAATTTTAAAGGTTACTACACAGAACAAAGTCAATGTGATGTGCATAAAAGGGAGTTTTCAGATGCGCTGACACTTGCTGAGATACGTAAAATATGATTAATATGAAAATAAATAAAATGCACAAAATTAGGGATACTATTGTTCATGTTACTGATTTTTTGTATTTTTTATGTTTTCAGTTGTTCCGGTCTCAAGTAAGTAAAGCTTAACATTATTAATTAAGTATAAATGAAAATGAGTGCGTATGTGTGTGCTTGAGATGAGGATGTGAGGGGGAAGTAGGGGGTTAGATTTTCAGTTGTTATTCGAGGATACAGGATCGATTACTACACAAGTGCTGTCAATCTTGTGATTCTTCTTTTGTAAGTTTGTATTGCTTGTATTTCAAGCATTTTTTCCCCCCTATTTTCTAAACCTATTTTTCAGTCATTTATCGTATATTTAGGCGTACTTCCCGATTTATTTGTTATGAAATAGCAAAAACAAATGATTGGTTAGTGAAAATAACTTTTTATTGATTTTCGTTTTATTGATTTAGTATCTAATATTTTGTGTGCATTTATTTGACTGTTTTGTGTGATTTAACATTACCAATTTGTGAAGAACATAAATAGGAATTATCTTTTTTACGTTGTTTGTCATAGAATCTTATGCCAGACAAATAAGAAAGTACTATCGGCCTTATCAACAACGGATACAAAATATCATCAGAGGTTGGTAGAGCGCATGCGCTTAAAATACAAACGAACTATGAAGCTGCCTATCCAATTATTTTAACTATTTAAAACGAACGTTTTGTATCATATTTTAAAACGGTGTAAACATATTATGTATTTAATTGCTTTATTGAATATATTTTCAATCAAGTTGATAAGAAAATGTATACTTTTTTGAAATCTGAAAGATTTTTGAAAGTTAACTCACTTTTTTTAATTAAACAATCATCTCATTTTCTAAGTTATATTAACTGTTGCAATATTTTCTATTTTTTTTTTTTTTTTTTTTTTTTTGGAATTTTTAAAAATTATTTATGATTTTTCACAAAGGCAATTATGGTAGACGTTACGACAGTAAGAAAACGTATCCCTCTCAGAAAATAAGAACGGTCTACAGAAGAGGTTCGTTTGGGTCGCTTGTAGGCGCATTTATCTGTAGTTGAAGTAGATGAACCATGTAGTGGGACACCTGGCCATACCCGGGGCTCTACGTCAGCCTGTTTAACTCCTTATAATCTCATATCAATAGCATTGTCAATGTATTTGCCTTAATGTAAGTGACGGTGTCCCAATCTAATATGTTTGTCTGTTGTTCTGTCTGTGTACTTCGCTTTTGTCTTATGATTTGTTGTGCTGCTTATATGTGTAGAAAGTATTATTCTTTTCATTACTAAACATATATTGATAATGTTGTGTTGTGTCTCGTGTCTAAACGCCCCATCAATACAAAGGCTTCCGACTTCACTTACTGTCGATGGTTAATGAAATTCATGTCACTTGTTATGGAATAATTTTTATTTTAAATTCGATATGAAAGATTTATACAGGAAAAGCAAAAACAGTTATTTCATGAAAAAGGATTCTGTTATGTCATTTTCTTAACGAATGAATCCTGTTTGATAAAACCATCTTATAGAGATGAGTAAATCGCTATTTCATAAAGATAATCTGATTGATTTGTTTTAATAAGATTTTCGTCCAAAAGCTCACCATTTTATTTTTTCTTGAAACTTCATCACATCTTTAGGAACAAACCATGCAAAATAATTATATATATGCTAACAAAGGCGAGGTGATGCTTCCCATTCTATTTTAGATAGTGTACCTAATTCAGAATACTAACCAAGTAGTGACACCAATTAACTGCTTTGGTTCAAATACACTATTGCAGTTGAATGCAGTATTGATGATAATATTTGAATTATTGCTTACTTTGTTGGCCTTCCTTAATCAAATTACTAAAGTTATAGAGTTTCCGTCCATAGTACTTCTTAACATTATATTTGGCACGCGCAGATGTAAGCAGTATGTTCCGTCGTTGTTATAAAAGAAAATAATGGTGAACGAATTTAAACATTGCTTCTGATTTAGTCAATTTAAGCTTTTAATGGAGTATTGATCTAGACAATGTATATATAAGTTATCCATAATCATAAGTTTATTATACTAAGGGTGAAGAATAAATTTACGGATGGCAATTTGTAACATAAATTAAGGTAGTATGGTAAGTCATTTTTCATTTTAATATTAGGTATAAGCGAAATACTAGGATAATTTGATTGAATTTAATTATATTTCTTTTTTTTTCTCTCTCTCTTTTTATCTGTTTTTTCTGTTTCATAGGGCTATGATCATATCCAGAATTTATCTTGAATAACATTTTTTTCTGCAATTTAAATAAAAAAAACAAAATGAGATATAATATTAAGAACATTGTTAACCTACGTAAACCTGGTGTCAGTGTATGTAGAAATATCGAACTCGTGTGTTATACCTGAAACCCTATTTACACCCAAGCTTATCTTGTGTGATATTTAGCAACGAATATGGCATAAAATCCGCAATGTGACAGGAACTGACATTTCATTTGCTGACAAGACAATAAACGGGTCAGGTTAATGTCAGAAATCTCGGCTTGCTTTGTATCTATGGACCGTTTTATGTGTATAGTCGTTGCACTGTAGCTTTCTGTGTACAATGCTTCCCCGGTCATCCCTCATGTAATTGTCAAGAATGTCCACTTTGTTATAGGTTTACTTACACCATTCCCTTGTACTTATATATCATCCATATCCTGAATTTCTGATAACGACTTAAGGGCTAATCCTACCTTTATCTGGACTTTCCATTTTATTTTATTTTTCTAAATACTGATAAAAAGATTAACAGAATTAAGACAAATATTGATAACACTAATACAGAAAAAAATGAAGATACCGTGATAAGATTAATTGTGTTACGTTTTTTTTATTATTCTTAGGATAATAATTATCTATGGATATCTTCAATTAGACTAATGGTGTTAATTGAATTGGTTGAAACATGATTAATATATATATATTATTTAGATTTATATTTAATAGATTTATGCAGGTCAGCTGAACAGATAGATAATCACTATTAGTAGAATATATATCAACATCATATGTAATAGAGTATGGAACCTTAGAAACTATTGAATATAGGGTATAGATATGAAAACTTTTATATATATTATACAGATCGGCGATCCCTGCAAATCTGTTTATACTATAATATAGATCAACAAATCTTGTGACGACTCATAAAGGCGAAAGAATGTATATCTGCAGACCTTGCAAATAATGTTTATGATAGAATACATAGGTATACAAATCCACAACGTTTGTTCAATATATAAAAAGTAAATAAAAACTCCCACCAGCGTCTTCTTCATATAAACCGCAACTATATTAACCTTGAAATAAATGTCAATATTGCAAAAAATAGCTTTTGCTGGCATTAGCTGCTTACCAAACCAACTAAGAAATTTTAACATTGTTTTTCACGCATGTTTTTAACATTCCAAAAATATATATTAGTTACACTAAATATAATTTTTCAATTTTCAAAAGAAAATATAATGACAACTTAAATTCATGATATAGTTTGAATTATTATGAAATTTAAAATATCATGTTTTTTAATCCATTTCGATAATACTGAAAATCATGTTTACGTACTATTACATTCCAAAACTGAGGGAAAGATAATTGAAATTCATAAATACATTTATATATCTATTAATATATGTTTCACTGCGAACTTTTAAACAATCTTTTAAATTATTTTATAATTTTATTTATTTAATTTCAGTACCTATAATTAAACCAAGTGAGTACAGTACTACACTTAAACGCTCTCAACATTAAAATATATTGAACATATTGGAAATGTTAAAATGTTTCTTTATTACATTTTCCGATTAATATAAGTAAAACTGTACGTTCAAATCATAAACTATTCTTTACAATTCATAAAAGACAAGTTATATATCAATAATATTTTACCAATAAGATACATTCTTTAAGATGTGACTAATTATCTAAAAGCAAAGTGTTGCTTGACTTTTTTTTTTTTTTTTTTTTTACAAACATTCATAGAATATATTATAATAACAATAATAATATATTTTTTTTATATATCTATAACTATAGTGTCAGTCATATATATATATATATTTAAGACACTCAACGAATTGAATATTTTTGTTTGCTTTTTTTTTTTTTTTTTACAAACATTCATAGAATATATTATAATAACAATAATAATATATTTTATTTATATATCTATAAATATAGTTTCAGTCATATATATATATATATATATATTTAAGACGCTCAACGTATTGACTATTTTTGTTTGTTTTTTTTTTTTTTTTTTTTTTTTTTTTTTACAAACATTCATAGAATATATTATAATAACAATAATAATATATTTTATTTATATATCTATAACTATAGTTTCAGTCATATATATATATATATATTTAAGACGCTCAACGTATTGACTATTTTTGTTTGCTTTTTTTCCATGGTGATTAGTGACGATATATAAGAGAAGTAAGTATTAGCAAAATTAAAATCAATTTTAAGGATCCCCGTCTCACTGCACTACAATTATTTCCTTAAATAGAGATACTTTCCATTTATTTGATTTATCGCAATCGAACCAGAGTGCTTCCGTTTACCAGGTTCCTCAGTCAGTAACAGAGATAAAACAACAATCTGAAGTCTAGAGTTCAAATACTGTTGTAGTCCTGCCATTTGTTTTACATTCAGAACACTACTGTTTATTATATTTAGTTTAAACCTGTAAGGTATATTTATCTTTTCACAAACAATTTATCCAAGTTAAAGTAATGCCGGGAAAACTTGTTCTAATGTTTAATTACAATATTTGGCAGTGGGACGGGTATCTTTAAACTAATTAGAGACTGGATGTATGTTCAACTTAAGCCTTTTTAAACATACATTAAAAATAAATAGTTTATTTTGTTAAGCATCCAAGTTAATGCTCTTTCTCAATGATAGAATGCCTTAGAACTTGGTGTTGCATACATTTTTGACAATTGTATATACATTAGCTTCCTTGTATTAAAATATCGTCGTTGCATACACGTTTTGTTCTAGCAAATAATTTTTGTAATACACCAATTGTCTAGCGATTTTATTTTACTTAAGAAGGAATTTGATATCAAAGTTTTACTGTCTACACAAATAATGTACGTATTAAACGTGTCGTAACGTTTCAAGACAGACTGGTCCCTTTGTCGAAGTTAGCAGTCGTTTGCCATTTGTATTGAAGTTCAAATACGTTTGGGATTTGTTTCCAAAATAGCAATCGATTAGTTTGCTTACCTGCGTTTCAATAGAACTATTTTATTACTGTTTGTGTTAAAAATGTTGCTTCATTGTATCAGTGACGTCATAATGACGTAAGCAAACGTCATGGTTTAACGAAGGCACAATACTGTCGAGAAATACAGTGAATACCATGTTCAAGTCATTCGTTTCAGATATTTATATTAGCTATCAATTACTTTTCAGCTGTTCCAGTATATGTTGTTATGAGATATTTCAAATGTTATGTTAAAGTCATTCGTTTATGTAATTATATATTAATGTCATTTATTTATATAATTTCAACAGTTCCCGTATACAAGCCAGTAATTAAAACATGTAAGTATAAACATATTTTTACAATAGACTTTGGACAATGCAAATATACGGAAATTCGCAGTATATTTGTTTCACAGGAAGCATACTAATTTATTATGTCAATGATAGATAACATGTTATTTTAAGAAAAAAATGTTAAAATAATGTTTCATTATCTAAAGATGATGGTTTTGAATTCAACAACAAGCAAATCATATTTTCAGTATTATTCATAAAAGGATTGAGGACTGCTTTGGTCGATTCCATGGGGTGATGAATTGAATTAGTCTTGAAACCAATTTAAGGAACTGGAAAATTCAAACCTTATATTTCAATCAACGTTTTTTTTTCAATAATTGGAACTTTTGAAGTCAATTCTGATAATTTGTCCCAGGTTCTGGAGCTTTTGCAAGTCTACGTTTTGACGAAATGTAAAGAAATATAGTCCGTCATTGAAGGACCATCATACAACATAATTGTTTACACTGATAGTTTAATAGCAAAATTATATAGAAACAAAATCCAAAACAATATTTTCAATGTCATATTTAATTTTTGTTGAGGAATTCAAAAGATATCAAATTTTTCTGATGCATCATTGCGAAAGATTAATGTCTAGGCTCAGCTGCGAGTCTACGGCAGCCATCTGGAATGTGAGGCTGCATTAATTGAATGTCGGATTAGACAGGAAACCAGACATTGCTTGAAAGGACGAATAATTTAATATGACATTTGGCTGTTCGACTGTATTTTATATAAGACGGGACCACATGGATCTACCACAGGGGTTCGTTACAAATGTCTGAAATACACATATGCCTTTACTGATATGGGTCACAGTACACGTAAACATACATTTATATATATGATTATGTGTGCTGTTACCCTATCAGTTGTAGCATGATATGTGTATTTCAGACATTTGTAACGAACCCCTGTGGATCTACGTTGTTTTCGATTTGTACCGGGAGTGGTTAGGATGGGTAGCTAGAGAAAGATTTTCTATGGCAGTAAATGACCTGTCATTACGCTAGCAACCGTGAGCTGATAATATTTTGCTGACTGGTCGTTGTTAGATGTTTGAACAAGTTCTTGTGAAGCTTCAATAAAAATGTAAAATATCATGAAGTGGTACATCTTCTTTGTTAAAACAGGTTAATAGTAATCTCCCTTCGCATAATCGTACGCACAGGCAATGTTAATCTGGTCAAATTCATCGGAAAATGAAACGTATAACATACATCAGCTTTACTTTAATCATTTGGCATATTAACATTTATCAACATAATATAGATTATTGATAACTTATATATGAATATTGTTTTGTTACAGACATAAAGAAAGTTCCATACGTAAAGGAAGTACCAGTTATCAAGACAGTTTACAAAAACAAATTCATTCCTAAGACCATCAGAGTCGAAGTCCCAGTCGCAAGTCCCGTTCGTGTTCCAGTTGAGGGTAAGTAACCACTGTTAAATATACATTTTATAATTGCTGCGTTTAACTTCATCCCCCACCCACCCACACCCACACACACTCCAATATTGTTTGAGAATTGAAGTATTCAACTTTTCTTTCCGCCATCAGTTTAAGCTGATTTTGGGACAAAATTATGTCATATTCAAACAGAAAAGAAATGAGATTGTAGGTGACTCTACACCAGCGTACATTATGTCAAATAAATATACATATCTAGTTTCTTACCACGTGGTATATACAATTAAGGATTGTGTTTTTTTTGACGAAGGCATTTCGCCTATTGCAGTAATACATGACAGTACATATGATGTGTCATGCTATCCAGAGTACTGTAAACAGGAACAACTTTCGCCCTGTCATATTTTTGCCTTATGCCGATAAAATCCATTTCAGCCAAATGGTAATTTTATCATTCACCTCTGATTGCTTTGTTTATGTTCGCTGAAATGATACATTATCTCTCATTACGGAAGACGAAAAAGGCGAAAAAAATAACTGCGGCGAAAAAGCTCCGGTATACAATAATCCATAAAATTGTATTCACTACAGTTAACTTATCTTATTTAGAATAGTAACGGCAGTTATCTCCTGCATAAAACGCGTAGGTAGTAGTTACTAAGACTATCTCCATTTTTAAAGTACAATTACGTTCAGAATCATATATCTTGTTATCTTTCCTGATTATATATTTGATAATATTTTAATGATCTTTCATTACAGTTCCAGTTCCTCAGCCAATGGCTCCAATTATAGACGAACCAGGTACTTTATAATATTACATTTCTCTAAGTAAAATCGCATTGCGTCAATATACTATTTTCTTGTTGTATTGGAGAAATTCAGCTTCTTCATATTATGAATGTTTATCATCAAAAATTGTTACTAGTGAAAGAGTTGTCATATCTATCTTTTTTTATGCTCAGTATAATATGTTTTCTCATAATTAGTCTAATACGTACATATAGTCTCATAATATAAAACTATTCGTTAATTTATTATTTTAACAACGATTTTTTCCCCTTCTTTTAACAGTTTTTGACAACAATAACAATATCGGTGAGTAGATAAAAACATTAAAATTTCATTTTGTTGGAAGTATTTCTCTGACAATCTAATGTCTATGGACGCCGATTTATTGCACTTTCCCCTCTGTCGCATAGGCGTGTCAATTTCATCTTGAATAGTTTTAATTTTCGGCGCTTACTGCATGCATTTAATGAGTGTTTTTAATGTCTATTCTTTTCTTCCATCATCTATTTTTCTAACCTTGCCGTCTCCTTTTTAATGTTAACCTTAACGTTAATACTTTAGTGGAACATTCCCTACATTATATTTACACCAACACAACATCCTATTAACACACATATGTTTACTAATTTGTCAACAGTTTATTAGTGGCTAACCTGAAGTACGCATTGCATCATTTACTGCTTCATTTACTTCATTTACTGCTTATTTACTGCTTCATGAACGCATCTCACATTGCTGTGTCAAAAACACCGTATGTCGCAAGAAACAGGCGGTGTTATCCATCATTTTATGAAAGCATCATTTTCCCTCGTTGTGTGGACGCATCACCCACCGCTATTTGCTGACTCGCTCATTGGCTTTCAAACGGATCATCCCTTGCTTCATCAACATAACCTCCATTGCCGCTTGGACACCTCATCTTAGACGTAGTGATTCTGGGAAACAAACTAATATGATGAAACAACACTGACCTGTTGGTTTAAGCTTCGAATTGGACCATAGTTAACCGGTTTATACGTGCTGCACCTTGTCCGTTAGCTTAACATTTGCATTTATAATTAATATTATTAATTCCATTCAACAATATCATTATATATTTATATATGTAATGCAGTCGAACTTCGTTATTTCAAACCGTGATATCGGGATTTTTTGTTATATGTGACACAGTTGCAGTCCAATACTTTTCCAATGACTCGTTTGTATTACATTGTTAAAAGTGCATTGATTAGAGTTTGAATTTGTTCGTATATGTATACACGTGAATAATATCTCAAATATTTAAAAGAAAAACTGTCAGTACATGTTTTCAAAACTGTTCGAGATGAAATGAAGAAAATGTTTAAGCGCTGGTGACAACATTTTAAATGGAGAAATTATGTTTATAAGAAATATCATTTGAAGAAAATTAATGTTAATGCTGAACATATTCATAACTGGAAACATGCACTTTAACAGTTAGTTGTTGATCACGACACGTAATACATGTATCTTGTCACGAGTCAGGTTTTATGTACGATACTGGGGACTTGTACCTAAGTATAGATCATATGTGATCGTTACATGCGACATTAATGCGAAAGGAATTGGTTTCTGACACGACAACAGGCTGAATTATGAACAGCATTGTCAACTTTACGAAAAAAAATATACAAAAAAAAGCACAGCAAATCAGTTATCTAGGCTTTAATGAATACTTTCTAATAAATGTTATCATGAGAAATAAACAAAAAAGTGCGTGTTTATGTACTTTTATCCTATAAAGAGCATCACTTTGCGTTTACGTTAGATTTTTACAGGAAAACATTTCCTGTAACTGAGTTTGTATAATTGTAACACGTTGCATGCTCTGTAGAAATTCATGGTAGAGTTTTGTACTTATACTTGAATCATTTTTTTGAATTTCTGACTTACAACACATTCTGTGGTTTAGAGTCAAAACAAATGTCATTTGCACTCATTGCTTGACAAAGAAAAACGACGTTTTTAAAATCTTGCCAAATAAGGTATCAATTCTTGTTTGTGTTCAAATTAAACCTATTAGACTTTGAGATATTCATTTATGCTTTTGGATATTGAATATTAAGCATGATAAAGTTTGAGGATACAAATTCAACATTTGAAAGTATTTGTCATTTCGCAGGAGTTTATCTTACTTGCTTATTTTCTTTTTCAAATAATATTATATTTAATCTGATAACTCTACAATATGTGTACAACTTATAATACTAACTGGTGGCTTATAGATTTAATGTGAAACTAAATGCGCGTGAATTGCACACAATGTACTTCGAAAAATGCGTAGAACAAATCCCACGAACGCACGCGTCATAAATAATCAGGGCTGATATTACAGTTTTAAATTATTAACAAAAGCTTTGTCCATATGTGAAGGAGTTTAACATTTTTGAAATAACGACAAATGTGTCTATTATTTTAGTTCATTGAAAATAATAGTATTTAAATAGTATTGCTATTTTGTATGATTTCCTATGAAAGATATTTATCTTACATTGTAGTATTTATAAATGTTACTATTATTCTTCAATTGTAATTCTGGTGATAATGCGATGTATTGAGGAAGTGGTATAAAGAACCTAGTTTGATTGAAGAAAATGAATATTTTAAACATGCTACCAGCCACTGAGTTGACAAATTACATTTACGGCTTATGTTATACACTCAACACACATATCGTACAAATGTATTGCTTATATTGGCAAAGAGCATTGTCGTTTGCATGTATTTTTTTTTAATGAAATTGACTTTTCTGTTTTGCCTAAGTCAAACAAATGTAAATACATGTCCTTGTTTCTTTCGGAAATTACTTTTTTGGAGTAATCGTGGAATAAGTGTCCAAGAACACATGGTAAGCGACCTAGATTTTCAAGCTATATTGCCGAAAGCTATACATTTTTACGATATGCATTCGTGGTTGGTGAGTTATTGGCCTTTTCTGACGACCGATGTTGGTTGGGTTCAGGTCTTTCTTCATCAAAAGTAAAAACAGAAAGTTCAAACAGCGGCAGTGGCGACATAAACATAGGACTAGGAATCGGATTGGGCGGCGTCGGAGTAGGAACTGCTGGGGATGGAAAAGCTGTCGGAGTCGGATCAGGAAACGGACATAATATAGAAATTGGTGGTCCAAATATTGAGATTGGAGGTCCGAAAATAGACATCGGTGGTCCACATGATGGTTTTGGTGGCCCACATGATGGCTTTGGTGGCCCACACATGGACATGGGTGGCCCAAATATTGACATGGGTGGCCCACATATTGACATCGGTGGCCCACCCATTGATATGGGTGGACCACAATTTAATAGCCCAAATATGGACTTAGGCGGAAATATTGGAGGAGCGCCAGGCATGGATTTCGGATTTGGCGTCGGGGGAATGGATGGTGGTATGGGAATGGGGGTGAGCGACCTAGGCGGAAGTGTCGGCGGAGGTATGGGCGGAAAGCATGGTGGAGCAGGTTTCGGAGTGGGTGGAAATGATCTCGCCGGAGGGGTTGGTTTCGGCAGTGGATCAATGGGAGGAGCAGGAGGAGGTGGAGCTATGGACACTAACGGTGTGGGTATTGGAATAGGGCATGGGGATGGAAGTTTCGGAATCGGTATTGGTCGTGCCATGCCAGAACCAAGAGGTACGTAATTGTCACAATGATCGTGTACACAGTTGATGTTTAAGTCGCACGCACTTGTCAACTGCAATCCTTTATAATGCATAAACTCATATATACACATCAACATCAAAAACGTCGAATCTTAATCAATTTGTACATGTTTTGACACAAAACAAATATTCTGTACTTGCAAGCAACTGCATAGGAAAACTCAACACAATACAACCCCTGCCATTTCCAAAACTCTCTCCCTCTTCAGACGCATGATTTGTTCAATATTCATACACTTTGATATGAAATATTGTTATTTTCCTTCCGATACTATCTAAATGCTACTATGCCTCCTTTCCTAATGTACTGAAATTATTTTCCATTTTCCTATTTTCTTTTATATTCCAAACATTTTCCTTACAGGATTATGAAAAAAAACCATATATGTTTTGCACAAAAGTGATAAAGTGATACATATTTTCTGCTGTTTTATGATATATCGTATAAAACCAAAATAATCATGATTGTTTTCAAATGATATAAATTGCTTATAAAATAATCACATGGCATAATAAAGTCAATTTAATTGGAGCCCAGCAAGTATATTTTTTGCAAATATCATGATATAAATGAAATTACTTTAATAAAAAAAAAAAAAAAAAAAAAAAATTTTTTTTTTTTTTTTTTTNTTGCTTTATTGTTCGTTCCAGATACCCTCATTGTCTGTAAGTATGAAAAAACAAGTTTTGAATCTTATGTTATCATATTTTGAAATTAATGCAATATATAGTTGTCTGTTTCTGATATCATTAAGATTTAAGCTGTATTTCTGATGATTCCGTGGGTATGTTTGTACAAATATACACGATAAATAAGATTTTTTAATAATGTTTTATAAAGCTGCTGATATGTCAATAGCCAGTTGTTTACGAATCTCGAATTAATGGATAAATGACGAAGCTCAGTTTGTTCAATTTCTCTACATGAATCACAAAAATTACAATTTCACTGTATACATGTAGCACTTGGTGGTATCTGATGTCATTTCAATAGTGTAAAGTCATAGCGCAATGCTTTCATCTTGTACGTATTTTAACGAACTGTACTTGTTATGGGGAGAATATGACCCATATTTATACATTGTTTTGATTTTAATTAATATAGGAACAATGAATAACATTTAAATTCACATTAATTAATATACATTTTTATTTATTTTTAACAGCTGATGCCGACCACGGTAAGATCATTAATATCATCGCTAGTTCTTAATTATGAAATTGAATCTCAGACCTACAAAGCGTTTAAAATTAGTATTTACATTAAGAATTTGAGAACAGAAGAAGTGCATTTAATTTCTCTAAATTGTTATGTCTTATTCTTTTCATTGACTTAAGTTTGTTTCTATCACAAGGATAACTAAAAAATAAAACATGTTTGCGATTAAAAAATAATATTTAAAAATGAACTTTCCTATTATCAAATGTATTCAATAAATGCAGCATTTAGTTATAAGCACAACAAAGGGAAGTAACTCCAATTGCCTCTTTCGTTGCTATTACAATACCAATATTCAAAACTTGATGTAATGACATTAATATCGTGGTGTTTTGGTTACAGTCAGAATCGGGGAACACGACTTTAGAGGACGTGGAGGCAGAGGCAGGAACCTTTTCATTCGTAAGTGTGTTTGAGGTCATGATGTTTTTCCTTTTGTTTTGGAGTCTCCGCTATGCGTAATGTTGTATTTAGAAACTTGAATTTGAGAAGGTGTCCGGATGTAACGGCAATTATATATTTGTATCTATCGTTAACATATCTTACCATTATGATTGTCTTCATACGGACCTGATTTGTGCTGTTGTTCCTGAAAAAAAGGAAATGAAAATACAAATCTGTACCATATAAACCAACAATATTCAATTCATAGAAAGATCCTACCACTCTCAGTAAGATAGAAAAAAGCTTCCTAAATGCCTTCACAGAGAGAAAAAACTGGCTTTTCGTTTAAGTTGTATTATGGGTTCCTGTTTTTGTTTTACATAAGAACTAACACTTTACTTGAGATTAAAAAATAATCGATATCGTCATTAAATTAAATTTAATCATGTTCTCATTTTTCATTGTAGATGACGCCGACCATGGTGAGAATACATTTAATTAATTGGCATTTTTTACTTCTCATCTCTGAGTTAAAAGAGTTTCACGACAGCGTTTCTGTCTTTTCATTTGTCTCATGAGTTATTTCATCCTGATAGAAATTAAACCGAACTGCGTACGTCATACAGTATTGTATTACAGTCGTAAGGTCGTTCCATTCAAGACTCTTATTTATCGTTTTGCTATCTGTATTGACAAACCTAAATATATCGCTTTAATCGAATTTATAGTTTCCTAATTCTAACTAGTATTCAAGATCACATAACGCCTCATACTTTTGATTAGCAATTGTTATGGGTATTCGAAAATTCGTTTATAACATTCCTTATCGTTATTTGGGCTTTTCACAATCTTCAAACAGTACATTTTTGCAATCCCTTTATTCTAAGACGACGATGCGGGATTATTTGAATCATCAAAACTTGTAAAATATTGATAATATTTACTAAGCAATCGATACAGGTAAGTTATATAGCAGGGTATTTTAATGCATATTTCGGTTTTCATACATGACGAATTCAAGGTCTCATGTAGGTAATACTTTCATATTGGGACAGTTATTGTAAGTCACAGAACAACACTACTGTGTAGTCTTGATCGCTTACCTGAGGTGAATCTGTAAAGGGGGATCACTCTGGTTGAATTGTTACACGAAATGTAACCGAGTGTTTTGGTCAACAGTTACATCAGCAGGCGGGGGTCATCAAGGACATAATGGCGGTGGTAATGACGGTTTCAACAACCCTGGTACGACAGTAGTGACCGCACGTACAAACTTAGCAACACTACTCGATGTACAGTTTGTACATATCAATGTAACAATGGTAGTGGTAGAATTACTAAACATAGAAAATCAAATATTACATTTAGTCATATATATTTATATATATAAATATATCATTCATAATTTACATGTAGCATCTACTAAACCTGCCTAGATGTATGGGTGGGATGTGCTCTATTGCATATGTAATGCACATTTATCTGGTTGGGAATGATATGCCTTTTAATTTATACAAATAAATATATGAATATTATTGGGGGTTCATATAATTAATGCTACTAGAGATGACTAATATGCATTCGCTATTCCTTACTACTTGTTCAAAGTAACCGGTCGTATTTTGGCGTGGCGTACCTGTGTATATTTGTATTGTGTCTGTTTGTATAGCACTTGCATGTTCAATATCTTCATCTAAATCTGTTGAATAGTCAAGTCACATTAAAATAGCTACTTATGTATCATTTAATTTGTAGAGGAACTAGGTAATGCTTGTACCCAGGAAGCGTAATTTTCCTTTAGTATAAGTGCATGGTTTAAATCAGTAGATCGAATAACTACGTTATTTGGAACGACGGACAATGCTTTGCATGTTTGGAATCAATAGCGCAAATGGCAAGAATAATATTGAGCACTATCGTATTTATCAGATAGAAAATTTGAATTTCATCATCACAAGTGATGATGCATTATCTTAAGAAAAAAAGTGTTATATTGAGAAGCATGACTTATGAAAAATCCCGAAAATGGATTCCCTAATTACTATTACAATAAACAGTAGTTATACTGATATTAACACAGTTCATACAATAATCGACCATTTATACTTAGATTGTATATAATATAGGCATACTAATAAGCATATCGTTTCAATTTTACTTGTATTAAAAGTACACTGTGGAACTTATGTACGGGAAAAAGTGAACTACATATAAATTAAATATACTGAAAAAGATAACAATGATAAAAAACTGAGTATTCAATTTATGTAAAAATATATGTAATTAATGCTTATTTATCAAAATGTTCAACTCTTCATCAATAACGTTATATTAGGTTAAAATGTTTTTAAAAGGTTTTACATACCAATAATTCTGATTGTAGTTTGTAATGAAAGTGTGATAACATTATAACTAATTTACATGCACTCCTGAGTTTATCATTTAACATTTTTTACAATGAAACTATACGTCTTACGTACCTTCCTATAAAGTACATTACTGTGCCGATTTATTTTGGGAAACAATAAAAAGAGAATAGTCACCATGGTTTAGGAGGATTTCCTAGTTCCAATTTCTTAATTGATGTTGACATTTGTTGACATTTGAACCAAAATCGTTTAATATATTTGCAGCGGTAACATAACATTTGCGAAAAATATTTAAAGAATAAACACGCTAAGAATAGAAACTTTGAGGTAATCAAGTTTGCAGACACATTGTTCATCTTTGTTCACGTGCTTTTTAATGAATTATTTAGTTGCCATCTTCGGAGTAGACAACGGAGGCAATGGAGGTAGTGTTGGAGGAAACGGAATGGACAACGGTATTAATCTGGACGGTCTCGGAGGTGGAAACGGAGGCATTGAATCCGGGCATGGATTTGACAACGGAGTTGGATTAGACGGACTTGGAGGTCCATCTGATCTCGGCCATAACGGCGGATTTGAAAACCACGGTGGATTCATCGACGGCAATGGTGGTGGTATATTCGACCAAGGAATCAACGGAGGAGGTTTCATGGATAACTTTAACAATGCTGGTTCTATTGACAGCAACTTGGGAGGACCTTTCGTCGAACCTCTGGTTGGTGGAAACCTGGATGGAAACATCAACATCGTCAAAAATGGCGGATCTCTCGATCAAGGAATCGGTGGCGGCGTAGGACATCTTGATTTTGGTGGCCATGGACACATGGATCATGGAGTAGTTGGTGTAGATGCAGGAGCTAAAGCCACAACAAATGTTAATGTAAATGTAAATTCAAATGCCGCTGCTCATGGCACAGGAGGGTCTGGTTTCGGCATGGGACCCGGTCACGTGGACATCTTACCCGCACCAATTGATCATGGTCTTGCACATGGCGGCCCAATAATTGATGCAGGTCACGGAGTTCACTCAGGAGGTCACACGGGCAAGGGCAAACGTAAGTCATTATAATAAATGTCAAATCGTAAAAATCAAATTGTATAAACCCGAGGTCAGATGGTCGTCTTTAAATATTTGTTAACCATTTTGAAATGTATTACTCCATATTTTGCAGTAATACTCCATATTTCCCAATTACTCAAAGACACTTTTATAATTTCATAATCTGTTTTATATTTTGTTTATATAAATTGAATGAGAATAAATCTTTGTCATTAACAGACATGTTTAAATGGAAGAGTATTTTATTTTCTTTCCAGGTATTTAAGCGAATGTCATTCCATTGGAGGATAGAGGAGCCATGTAGCATCTAGGATTATTTATGTCGTTGTCCAATTTCATCTGTGTAATTTAACAAAATATCATTTTGCATATAAAATCATTTGAATAAATACGTTTGTTTGTTGTATTTTCACTTGAGAACTGTGCAAAAGAAAATGAAACTTATAAACAGAGGAAAGAATAGAATGGAGACATTTGAAATAATACAAAGATAACATGAACAGGCGTTCCGGAAGGGGACACGCCTTTTGCTTCATCGTCACACTTGTACATCTAGGTCAAATGCAAGCAATGTCACGTCGTCAAAACGAGAACTGAGGAAGTAACGACAAGACAACCTGTAAGACTCAGAAAGAGATCCGTTGAAATACGGTATTTATTGTAAAGCAGTATTTTTTCGCGGTTTATACACATTCCCGGTTGATGCGGAAACATTGAAAATGAGCATATTTGCCAAAATTTCAAATGTTGATTCGTTTTAGAAATTTCAAACAAAAAGTAATAAGCACGTATATAAAAAGAAAACATACGTTGCACTGTGCTTTTTTGGACGAAATGTCTCAATAATTCTCTGACAGTTGATTCTATTAACTCGGCACTTTGTGGATTTCTTAGTTGGTTTCAGCGGTTTAGAGTCAAAAAACTGTTCATTCGCATGAAAAAAGGTACCATACGTTTACCAAAGCTTGCACAATTAGATTATATTCAGAACAAACTTGGAATTTATTATTCATACGAAGCTGATAAAAGTCATTCAAAAATAGTGTATCTGTTAGATAAAAGTAAAATGCAATTTTGATCTTATCACCGATTATTCATTGCATTACATATATCAAATAAAAAACATATAAAGGATCACATCGTCAATAGACAAGTGACAGACAAGAGATCACACCGTTTATAGGAACAAATAATACAACGTCAATAGATGTAATAATAAGTCCATATTATTAACAGATAGACAAAGATAAAATTCTACGTTTTCATACTTTACCAATTTTGGTTAATATTTAAAGACAAAATAACGCATTGTCAAAAGATAAAGACAAATTTCTACATTGTCAACATACAAAATTTAATCACCAGATCGTTAACACAACGTTGTAAATAAACAAAATGAAAAACCGACATCGCCTATAGACAATGACAAAATGTCATTCTGTTAATTGACCAATTCAAAACAGGAACTAAAAAACAAAACGAAAATGCTGCAAAAGGTTCTATTTGACCGTCACAACAACTGCTATGACACATGATACCCCCGCAAACTACGGGGGCGAAAGAAGTTGTACGGGAGGGGACTTTCTACATGACAGATGACGATTTATGAAGTCTATACACCGACACAAAATAATGTTCATCATGGTAGATATTTAGTATTACCTTTGGAACTCCTGACATAAACATACCTGTGCTGTGAGTAAGTCTCGCAAAATGAAAAAAAATATGTATAATGTTGTTTTAAGGAGAGAGAAAAAGCCTTGCTGGGACGACGATCATTTCCTTTCAAGACAGTTTGACTGTTACTTACAGAATATCAATGTAACACGACAGACAAAAAGAGTCAACCAAACTATAATTTGAACTCGAAATCGATAACATTTGGCAAAATATGAACAAAGGAAATGTTCATATTTTGAAGTTTACATGCAGACTCATGATAAACTACATGGATAATAAGACCAGGTGTTTCGGAATGGAAAGCGTCTTCTGTTTCATCGATTACACCCGCCATGCAAATTTAAAGTCAAATTCAAGTAGTGTCACGTCCCCACATCGAGAACGCGGTTAGTGACGATAAAACCAAAATGCGTTTGCAGAACAAAATGCAATTATTTTCGAATATTACTCTTACCATGTGCATATTTTCTTTAATTAAAAACATGTTGTTTTTTTCTTTTTAACAAAAACGTAATGAATTATACAGAGGCATTTGCGGTTTTATTTTGTCTAATCACATTGTCTCTTTTGGGTAAACACTATTGATTTAGACGTCTTACATGCCTCTTCCAGGCCAACAATTATGATTTATATAAGATGGTTAGCCTGCTTCATAATAACTGTTCAATAGATTGAGGTTATCATACGGGGTATGGTTGATCATCATGTTTACTGCCTTTTTTAGATAGTAAGTTAATGTTCAAATACTATATAGGACACGATTTAAATGAATGTAACTACCAGTTTCATGTATCACGACTTTATATACCTTTTTTCTTCAATTGTATTCATATATTAGGTAGAGAACCGCGTGTTTCTCTATCTGTGTTCGACTGTGGAAACAATTGCTAAGAACCATGACGTCACTAAGGAAGATAAACTCGCAAATACTTTAGTTAAGGGACGTCATATTAAAAAGATTTACAAATGAAATCACGCAGAGAGTTACCTACTCCTAGATGGTTTACTCGCCTAGTTGTGAGCGAGGATACCTATTGTGATTGTAGTAAATCTTCTTTTTCATATTAAAAAGATTTACCAATGAAATCACGCAGAGAGTTACCTACTCCTAGATGGTTTACTCGCCTAGTTGTGAGCGAGGATACCTATTGTGATTGTAGTAAATCTTCTTTTTCAGAAATATTTTCAATAAATTTAAATTATTTCCATGATCAATCTTACAGATTTCCATATCCAAATTATTTATGAATAAATACATTTTAAAGGGGCATCACGGTGAAGTAACTACTTTTTTTGTCTTTTTTTCAAATACTACATAAACATATCAAGTGAGACTCCTTATGGAAAATAACGATCGGATTTGGCTGAAATATATTCATAAAAATGATTAAATCTAAGATAATCATCGGTATTTCTACCTGTCTGACCAACGTTTTGTTCAGGGATTTCCCTCTACTAGCGCATGCGCATTGCACACCATTTCTTTGTAAACAAAATGACTGACCGTGTGAAGTAAGCCAAAGAAAAGTGTTGTACCGTGTCAGCTACGAAGCGAAAAGTTGCCAAATAGTCAAAAGATAGCGCACGGAGTACGTTACGGAATCATTATTACAGGTGGGAGTATTCAAAGGAGAAAACAA